GCACAATCAAAATCTTAAGATATTTAATTTTACTCTAAAAATTTTTTTATTAATGCTCTTTAAAAGCCCTCATTTAATCCTAGAATGATATTTTACGTTAGTTTTCACATTCAGTCCCTTCATCTTAAAGGTTAAAATTAATAAGTGATATTGAGTACACTAAACTTTTATTTAAAATAACTTTTATTGAGTACACTAAACATTCTATTTTTTTATAAAAAAATAATCAATCTAAGTTTTATTATATTCATTCTTTTAAGTGATGAGATGTTCCTCTCTTTTCTCAAATAAGATATTAGCAACTACAAAATCATAAGCTAGAGCAAATCTAATATGGTTCTACCACCTTCATTAGTCGCTCCAAATTCATATCCACCATGAATGCTTTTAAATTCTTCTACATCTCTACCAACATGTCCATTTAAATCTCATCCAATAAAAATTATTTTTTCAAGAGATATCATTTGTATTAATTCATCTAAGTAATACAAAATTTTTAATTTTAAACACATATCCAAACCAACTTGAGGAGCATAAGCACTTATGATATTGCTAATCTTAGAAATAAAATAAATTTTTAAATCTATAATTATATCTTTAATTCTATTAATTTCTACAATATTATCCTTCAAACTCTAATATATAATCACACCTATACCATTTCCAGTATGACTCCTACCTGAATACCATAGTTTAAATCATAAAATATCAATTGCCTTAGTTTTCTCTCCAACACATTTAGTTTCTTGAATATATAGAATACTAATTTTCCTCTAAATCATAATATCTATTAATTTCATTCATTTACATGTAAGAAAACCTATATTTCAACTTCTTATCCTAATTCTAGTTTCATGCACTAGATTCTTTGCCCACATTCATCTATGATATAGGAACCCTTGTTTTTTTTAACATGCACCCAAGCGCCGGTGCAATAACCCTTAAACACTTCTCGTTGTATTCAAATCATACATGTTGCTTCCAAGGAACGCCTAGTATTAACACAATGTATCAAATGATTCATGTCATGATTATTTAACAAGTTTTACGTAGGCTGTCGACTACCTAACACTGCCCTCCACTTTTCTCATCCAGGACTTGGGACCTAACAATGACAATATTTTGTTTGGCAAATGAAGCTTGAACAAAGGTCTTAGAGAAAACAGCTATGATAGGTTCATGTATGCAGTCTTTGTAAATGACCAAAAGCACCTCCAATAAACTTTATCAGGAGCAGAGATTATGCTTGGCATGCCTATTAACTGTCATCTGAGTTTAATTTCATTGTAAATTTCATTTTCTTTAGTGTTATTTATCTCTTATAAGCATTTTCGTAAAACTATATTATATGGCATAAATACTTAGGTTCGAAGAAGTTAAAAAGTCAACTCTTTTAAAAGATAAGCTTGTTACTAATGATGAAAAGCCAATTGAGGGATTTTTAGTTATGGGAAGATCTTTCGAGAAAGGATATGTCCCAAATCAAGGTAAAAAGAAGTCTCATGGCAGCCACAAGGATGTGAGTTTCTTTTATAGCAAAGGAAAATGACACATAAAAATAAATTGTTAAACTTTAAAAGGAAGAAACAACATGCCAATAACAACCACAAATAGATAAATTAATAAAAACAAAAGTTGTAATAGATTGGTCAATTCAAAATTCTGAAAATGCTCTTTTGGTGATTGCAAGAGATGAAAATGAGGAGTGGACTTTGGATTAGTTTGTCTGTGCCATATGTGCCCTCATAAAAATTTATTTTTCTTGTTTGAGCCACGTGTTAATGCTATATTATATTGGAAATAATATGACGTGGAAGAAAGTTAGTTTTTGAATGACGAACTCTTTTTTTTTTTTTTTTTGAATGATGAACTTGAGGAAGAATGATGACATGATTAGGGTATTGATCAGAGTTAGTTATGTATTAAACATAATGAAGAATAAAAAACTTCGAGAGTTCTTATCAAGGTAAAATGTACGTTCTCAAGAGATACTAAAGTCATATAGTTATTTTTCTAGTTTGACCGTTTGAGCAACATGTTAATGCTATATTTATATTGGAAATAATATGACGTGCAAGAAAGTTAGTTTTGGCATGAAGAAGCATGATGATAAGATTAGGGCATTGATCAGACTTAAATAACGAAGAGTAAAAAGCTTGTGAGAGTTCTTATCAAAGTAAAATGTACGTTCTCAAGAGATATTGAAGTCGTTAAAGTTTGGAATAGTTCATTAGTTGTCATGAAATAAAAGAGATTTAGTAAACTTTGTGTTCTAGGATGTACCTTTGAGTGGAGTGCTTTAGTTTCATTATTATCTATGTTGGACCATTATTATTCTGGAAAGTCAAAAAAAAGGTTAGATTCTTGGTGGAAAGTCAAGTTTCATAACAAAGAAGGGTCCAACTTAAGGAGAGGACTATTTGAGGATCAATCTCATGTTGTATGGTCTATCCTTATATGCCTATTTTTCAATGGAAAATATAACACCATCGCGCAAAGGTCCCATGAAACTATTGTGCATAGTGCATTGCATAACAATTGCTATTTTAATATAATGTAAAATATTAAAAAATATGGATGAAGATGTAACTAAACATATATCTACATATATTTATGAAAGACAATTAAATTGAAAAAATAAAGAATCATGGTAATAAAAACAACCAAATTTATTAAAAAAAATCACTCTTATAATGCTAAACATTGATGATTGGGCACAAGTACTCAAACACTCAAAATTCAAACTATTGCAATTTTTTTAAAAAATAAGAATATAACTAATGAAAAATAAATTAGTAATATTAATATTAGCTTTAAGTAATAAATAAGACAAATAAAAAAAGTGTGCACCTTAAAGGCAAAATACTATCCCTTCTTGCCCACACATAGTGCAAAAAGCATACAATCTTTTGATACCCTATGTCTAGCTTTGCAAATAGAGCGAGGGTGTGCCTCTTTACACTATGGTAAAAAAAGTGTGCTATTGACATGCATGTCCCAATGCTAAGGCATATTATTGCGCCATTTAGAGTTAAAATACAACTATTTTGGGGGTACAATGTTTTAGTAACAAGTACTTTTTTTATTTTGGTATATTCATCCCATTATAAAATAAATGTACTACAGAGTTCTCTTATGGATGTTTAGATGTCATTTTGGCTTGGAGTTGTGTGGTGCTTACTGCTTAGCATTGTTGGGCTTTGGAAGGTTGAAGAGTTTGATTTCAGGATAAATCATATGCTAGATCCAAAATGCTTTGTACACGATTAATTCAAGGGGAAATTTAGTTAGGATTTAACTAAATAATTTGTCCAAGATAAGTACCAAATTTAAAATAAGAGATGTTAGGATAAATGAAAAATATCCTTTTATTTTTTCATAAAACTGGGTTTATATCAATTTTTTTTCATGAACTTCAAGTTAAGATGTCAACCTAATTTAGATCAAAACCCCGCCTCCTTATAATACATAGCTAAATGAATGGAAATATATGTATGCATAATCAACTAGTAGGTGTGTGTGTGTGTGCATAATACATTGGCGGGATTGCATAGTGGTTTTCGATGGTGCACATTTGTCCCAAAGCCTTTTTGCATGCTCCTATATATTAATAGAAACGTTTTGCATGTACATACGAATCGATTGAAACATTTGCATTTATAGATCATGTGATTTAGATGACTAAATGCATGTAATTGCTTCTATAGGAGAGAAGTCCAAGGGAGGAAGGGAGTAGAAATAAAGCGAAAGGAAGTGAGAAATTAGGGTGAAAATAATAAATTTAAGGAAAATGAAATGCTATTTAACTCATTTCTATGTAATTATTGTGAACTATTTTGACGTAGTGCAAACAAGGTAGTGCTGGAATAAGCATGGTGCCTTAAGGAAGTGTTCCAGTGTCACTTTGAGAAGCATTCAATTGGAGATTTAAGATATTGTTTAAATCTTATGTTTTTATCATCTATCATCTCACTTGTGTGATTATCTCCAGTATTTGATTTGAGATATTTAGGGTTCCTTTGGTAAGATGGGTGTACTTGGATTTGGGAAGGAGAGTTTTTATGCCTTTTTTTATCTTAGATCTATGTGTCATATTGATAGTGGATCAAATACCCTCCTTCATATGGATTTAAATTATTATTTTGGCTTAATCATAAAAAATATGGTGTCTTATATGTTGCTTGATATTTTTTTTTGTTTTTACTTTGTGTTCAACATACTGAATCTTGGTACATAGTTCCACATAAGTTATGCTTTTCCTAACAAAAAGGACAAGAAAAGCTTGGCCTTTGCAGCATATGCATTTAATTAAACAAATTTATTCATTAGAGATGACAAATATAGACCATCCTAGCATAGTCATCATGGAGTTCATATTCGTGTTCCACAATAACGAATTCAGAATTCTGAACCAAATGGTCTCGTAAGAAGAATGCTAAGTCCCTTCAGGAACACCAGAGTGATCAAAGAATTTTGAACAGCAAAACAATTTTATGTTTCCAAAGTTATTAAAAGAGATTTAATAACCATTTTAGTTATTAGCTAAAAAGAGAAAGAAGAAAGAACAAAATAATTAACTAAGGGACCTTATTTCCACCCAGGAAGTTTAAACAGTCATTCTAGACATAGTATCATAGTCTTTTGCTTCATAGCCTTTGCACGGGTAATTGCAAAAGGTTCTAAAGATCCATGTACCAATTTGGGCGCCTACAAAGGAGAACGGGATCTTATTTAAGGAAAATGTCGAATAGCCTCGATAAGTTTTAACACAATATAATGTTTATAAGCCTAGGACTGTTCTTAACCAGATAGATATTAGCCATTAAAACAATAAATTGATTAGATAATGGAATCCAAACAAGGTTCATACAATTAAAGAAAGATGATTAATCAAATTAATATGTAGAATCAGATGAAAATTGTTAAATCAAAACTACTACAGAAACTAAATCGAACAAAAAATAAAAGCTAGACAGGAAATTTGAGGAGCATTCCAGTACCAGCAACTCAAGATTCTTGTCAAATCCCGTGAGTTGATCCCTTATGAAAGAGAGAGCATCAGAAGCTGAAATAAATGCCCTGTAATTCCCCACGGCCACTTCTTGCATCTGCCTCCTTATGCGCTCGGCGTCCACCCGAAGAAGCTCCGGTTCCTGTAATGCCACGCCAAGATCTACGATTAGAACACGAGACAGGAGAGGAAATGGACATCAAGAAACAATGAACCTTGTGGAGGCGATCGAGGGTAAAGGAGAGGAGCTCGGAGACGTAAGGTTGCTGCGAAGCTCCAGCCAGGGGTAGGAGCCCCGTAACCGCCGCCCCTTCGTCCTCTCCACCGGTATAGTTCTTCGCCGCTTCCATCGATCCGGTGAATTCGAAGTCCGATATCTCTTCAGATCTGCTCAACAACCTTCTCTCTGGGATCGAGAGTGCGAGGGAGCCAAATGCTGTTTGGCAGCAAGTTGGATTTAACTCGAATAAGATTTTATAAATCTGTAAATCCAGATGACTAAATTTTATTTTAGTTAATCATAAAAATTAGTTGATATTAAAAATTAAATTTATATAAATTATTTAGCTATTTATTATGTGATTATGATATCTTATTATATTTAATTATTTATATAATCTTAATTAGACTTGATACATCCTTAAAAATGACCTCTTGAAAATTAATTATAGTTGGGACCATCCAAACTCCAATTTCAAGGAAAAGAACCTAACGACACCAAAATCAACTTGATCCGAGCCCAATTGGATCTGATTCAAAAGTCTAAAGCATATTTGGAAGGCTAAAAGCATTAATTGGATAACAAAGTGATATTCAAATATGGAATGCTTACAGTTGAATCGAGCGGCTCAGCGAGGCGAATCCAATGAGCCCAAAATCGCTAAATTCTGACATATTTAAGGCACTTAAACACTTGAAAATATTCTATGATTGAGGGGATCAATACGGGCCATCCGATGGAGTGCTCCGAATCTGACCTGAATTTTCTTTATATTTACCAGATGTGTCACTCACAAAAATTTATAAATAGACCATCACTATCTAGATAAGAGGGGCTTGGATTTTTTACCTTTGAAGTCACACATCATTATAATATTTTATGTTAGAATTTTTAAGTGGTGTATATGTAAATAAAAAAATTTAGACGTTAGATATGTAAATAGACTTATTTTAAATGTTAGGTACTTAAAAATCCCAAAAAAAGAAAAGCCTCTTCGCATACCCAAATTACGGGATTCGGAAATACCGCAGGGCTTGTCTCATTTGGCTTCTGCGTTCTTCTTAAGCGGGCGCACAGAGAGAGAGAGAAAGAGAGAGAGAGAGAGATGGTTGTGACGAAAGAAGAGGTTGTAGCCGCCCTCACTTCCTCTCTCAGCCCTTCTCATCTTGTAAGATTAATGATCAATTACACATTGTTTCACTTTCAGTTTTAATTTCGCCGCTGAAATCCCTGACCTTGTTCCTTTTTTTTTCTCTTCCGGTTTTCTTTCATTTCAGCAAGTGATCGATACATCCGGGGGGTAAATATACTTCTTCTTGTAGTTTCCACCTTCCTTTTTTCCTGAATCGAAACTTTTCTTCTGAATTTATAAATCTTTCAATTCTGAATTTTTTTTAGATGTGGAGCGAGCTTCGATGTGGAGGTGGTCTCGGAGAAGTTTGAGGGGAAGAGGCTTCTGGAGCGTCACCGTTTAGTCAACGCGGCGCTGGCGGAGCAGATGCCGCAAATCCACGCACTCTCCATCAAGAAAGCCCTCACTCCCTCACAGTGGAAACCCCAGTCAGAGAATGAAGAGCCAGCTAAGATTTGAGAGGTCAAGAGCTTTACTAGAATCATGTGACTTTGATCTTTTCTTGAAGAATGTCTTCTTGTGAACTTTATTCCAGCAACCCCTTACTTCTGGTTTATACTTTGCTTGAAAATCCACATATATATACTTTTTATATTGATAAAGTAAAAAAAATATGTACTTTTGATATGCAGATTGTTGTTGATGATAAGATTGTTAATATTATAAGTGCTTATGCTCCTCAAGTAGGTTTGGATATGAGTTCTAAATTAAATTTTTGGAATGACTTGGAAGAATTAATACAAAATATACCTCTTGAAGAAAGAGTTTTTATTGGAGGAGATTTAAATGGACATGTTGGTAGAGAGGTAGATGATTTTAAAAGCATTCATGGTGGCCATGGATTTGGAACGACGAATGAAGGTGGCAAGACCATATTGGATTTTTGTTTAGCTTATAATTTTTTAATTGCTAATACCTTTTTTAAGAAAAGGAATGAGCATCTCATCACTTATAAAAATGGATATAGTACAACCCAGATTGACTATTTTCTTATTAGAAAATTAAATCGTTTAGATTGCAAAGATTGTAAAGTTATTCCGAGTGAAAATTTATGTACCCAACATCGATTATTAGTTTTGGACTTTAAGATAAAGGGGCATAAAATAAAAAATAAAGTAAAACGTTTTTCGAGGATTAGATGGGGGCATTTAAAGAATATTAACCAAAATATTTTTGTGAGTAAGATTTTAGATCTTAAGATTTTGTCTGTGCATGAGGATGCTAATATTATGTGGGAGAAAGTGGCTAGTGATATTAAGAATATTGCAAAAGATGTGCTTGGAGTATCTAAGGGAAAAGCTCCTAATAGTAAAAATAGTTGGTGGTGGAATCCTAATGTGCAAGAAAAAATTAAAAATAAGAAGCTTTGTTATAAAAATTGGTTTAATTTTAAAAATTCTGATAATTGGGAATTATATAAAGTGGCTCGTAAGGATTCTAAGAAAGCAATATGCGATGCAAAGGCATTAGCTTTTAGTGATTTATATAATAGATTAGATACTAAAGAGGGAGAAATATATATGTATAAGTTAGCCAAACAAAGAGATATGAGTAGTAAGGATTTAGTTCAAGTGAAGTGTATTAAGGATGAAGATCAAAAAATACTTTTCTTAGAAGATGATATTCAACAAAGATGGATGAGATATTTTGCTACACTTTTTAATGAAGATTGTGATAATAAGATTGACTATAGTGACCTTAGCACCCTAAATGAAAGTAAAGATTTCTGTTTTTATCGGCGTATTAGTAAAACTGAAGTTAGAGAGGCTTTAAATAGAATGAAGGGTGGAAAAGCTGTTGGACCTGATGATATTCCAATAGAGGTGTGGAAATGCTTAGGAGATGAAGGGTTTTCTTGGCTTACTAAACTTTTTAATACTATTTTGAAGACTAAAAAGATGCCAGATGAGTGGAGAATGAGTGTGTTAATTCCTATTTTTAAGAATAAAGGTGATGTTCAAGATTGTGCGAATTATAGAGGTATTAAGTTAATGTGTCATACTTTAAAACTATGGGAGCGAGTTTTGGAGCATAGGTTGCGGCGTGATACTAATGTTTCTCAAAATCAATTTGGATTCATGTCGGGTAGGTCGACTATGGAAGCCATACATTTATTCAGAGGTTTGATGGAAAAATATAGAGGAAATAAGGAGGATCTACATATGATATTTATTGATTTAGAAAAAGCATATGATAAAGTTCCAAGAGAAGTGCTATGGAGAGTTCTTGAAAAGAAAGGAGTTAATAATGCTTATATTCAAATCATTAAAGATATGTATGCAGGAGCTATTACTTGTGTTCAAACACAAGGTGGATTGACCAAGTATTTTCCTATTTCGGTTGGGTTACATCAAGGATCAGCCTTAAGCCCATATCTTTTTGCTTTAGTCTTGGATGTTCTCACTAGACATTTGCAAGATGATGTACCTTGGTGTATGCTTTTTGCTGATGATATTCTTCTTGTTGATAAGACTAGAGAGGGAGTTGAAGGTAAACTTGAATTATGGAGGTCAACCTTAGAGTCTAAAGGTTTTTGCTTGAGTAGATCTAAAACGGAATATATTGAGTGTAATTTTAGTAGTAATAGACCTAGTGAGGGGATTGTGACTTTGGGCGATCAAGTCATTAATAAGAGTACACGTTTTAGATATCTTGGATCTATTGTTCAGAGTGATGGTGAAATAGATGGGGATATTATCAGCATAATTCAAGTTGGATGGTTGAAGTGGCGGAATGCATCGGGCTTGTTATGTGATAGAAATGTACCCCTCAAACTTAAGGGAAAATTCTATAAGATGGTAGTGAGGCCTGCAATGCTTTATGGTGCCGAATGTTGGCCTTTAAGAGAGAAGCATAATACTAAGTTAAGTTTGACAGAGATGAAAATGCTCAGGTGGTTGAGTGGCTTTACCCTTAGAGATAGGATACGGAATGAGCATATACGTGAAAAGGTTGGGGTAGCTCCAGTAGAAGATAAGATTAGAGAAAGTCGCCTTAGATGGTTTTGGTCACATAAAACGGCGGCCTTCTGATGACCCGGTTAGGAGAGTTGAGGTATTAGATTTGACTTATGTTAAGAAAGGTAGGGGTAAACCTAAAAAGACTTGGTTAGAAAATATTAGGAATGACCTTTCTTTATTAGATTTAAACGAGAATTTGTCTTTTAATAGGACACAATGGAGAAAAAGGATTCATGTAGCCGACCCCACGTAGTGGGATAAAGGCTTGACGTTGTTGTTGTTGTTGTTGTTGTACTAAGTTTATTTAATTAGTCATATCTTGAGCACATTGATTACCTTATCAAAATTGAAGTTCAAATGAGTGAGGGACTACACCATTTTAGGATAACTCACATAGTATTATATGATAATAACCATAGCTCCTTCTAGGTCCCTCTAACACTGATGCCATAACACCCATGTTAACATACTTATATAGATTAATTTGATCTAGCCTATTTGACATCACCAACATGCATATACTAGCTTGATTGACATTTTAATCTAATTGGACTTGACATTACTAGTTATAATTTCTTACCTAGTTTTCTCTTTGAACTTAGCTAAACCACTTTGGCTAGGTTTATCGTTAATATAATCATATTCTTTTGATTATACCTTTTTACTCTTCTTATTCACACTTTAGTAGTTGAGAATCTTCTTAAACTAGCTATACTATATTTGGTTAAATCTACTCCCTATAATGGTTATGTTTTTAAGACTACTACTTATCTTGTTAGTCATAACTCTTTTTACTAAAAAAATATAATGAACTAGCTATGCTTTTTTGGCTAGGTCCCTTTTGATTTTACTATATTGATTTGATCATGCCCTTTTTGGCTAGATACCCCTTTTAATTTGGTCATGTATTTTTGGCCAATAGTCATGCTCATTTTGTAAAAACATTCTTGGTTTAACCATGCATGCTCTTTACTTGGACTTGTCATATACTCTAGGCATTTATAGCTCCTTTTAAACATCTAAAATCTTTCTATCATTTAAGTGTTTGCATCAAATTTGAATTTTAAGTTTAATAATTATTAGCTTTGATTACCTTCCCTCTGCATGTGCATGAAGTGAATCCATTGAAGGTATTGCATAAGTT